AGAAATGCTGTGTTTCTTGATACATATTTAGAAATGTAACTGAAATCTTAAACAGTTTTTTTTTTCAATTTCAGCATTTTAAAATTTTCTTTAAAAACATAACATCTTGAAATGTATCTGATTTAAATGAAATTTTTTGGGTTTAAGTTTGAATTATGTTCTAAAAATATAGTGCTATTTTCAGTCACCTTATATGTATGCAAAAACTAGGAAATTAATAATGAAAACTGAAGAAGAACTATGCATTTGAATTGTGGTGTTGGTGAAGAGTGTTGAATATACCATGGGCTGCCAGTAGAACAAACAAATCTGTTTTGGAAGAAGGACAGCCAGAATACTCCTTAGAAGCAAAAATGGTGAGACTTTTGCATATATTATCAGGAGGAACCAGTCCCTGGAGAAGGACATCATGCTTAGGAAAGTAGAGTGTCAGTGAAAAAGAGGAAGATCCTTCACAAAATGGATTGATAAAGTAGCTGCCACAATGAGCTCAAACATAGCAACAGTTGTGAGGTGGCACAGAACTGGGCATTGTGTTGTTCTGTTATACATAGGATTGTTGAGTCACAACCAACTTGATGGCACCTAAGAATAAGAGACCCTAGTAAGTAACATTATCTAGATAAATTTTCATAATATAATTTTTTATATCATTGAACTTACTTGTCTGGGAAAAAAAAAAATCAACTCATTGCCATCGATTTGACTCCTAGCAACCCTTCCTTGGGTTTCCAAGGTGGTATCTCTACAGATACAGAGTTCCTTATTTGTCCAGTACCTTCTATTAATGCAAATGATACTGGTTTTTAAAAAATTTTTAATAGTTATATGTATTGTAACTACCACAGTCTGTCAGTTTGTTGTACTGTGGTGGCTTATGTGTTGCTGTGAGGCTGGAGCTATGCCACCAGTATTTCAAATACCAGCAAAGTCAACCATGGTGGACAGGTTTCAATGGAGCTTCCAGACTAAGACAAACTCAGAAGGAAGGGGCCATCCACTTCTCAAAGAATTGGCCAGAGAAAACCTTATGAATAGCAGTGAAACACTGTCAGATATAGTACTGGAAAACTTCTTGAATAGCCCTGAAACATTGTCTGATATAATGCCAGAAGATGAGCCCCTCAGGTTGGATGGCACTCAAAATATGATTGGGGAAGAGCTGCCTCCTCAAAGTAGAATTGGCCATAATAATGTGGATGGAGTAAAACTTTTGGGACTCCCATTTGCTGTTGTGGCATGACTCAAAATGGGAAGAAAGAGCTGCAAACATCTATTAATATTCAGAATATGGAATGTACGAAGTATGAATCTAGGAAAATTGGGAGTTGTCAAAAATGAAATGTAACGCATAAAAGATATTGATGTCCTAGGCACTGGTGAGCTGAAATGGACTGGTTTTAGCCATTTTGAATAGAAAATCATATGATCTACTATGTCAGGAATGACAAATTGAAGAGGAATGGTGTGACATTCATCATTACAAAGAATGTTTTAAATATACGTATCAACCACTCTGGTAGTTATGCTTGTGTGTCAACTTGGCTGGGCCTGCTTGAGTGGCTGGGCAGCTGGTGGTAGTTATTCCCCATGATGAGACTGGGAATCAACTCTATGGAGGGATCTACCACAAGCAGCTGAGTAGCTGCCTTTGTCATGTGGTCTGCTTCTTGTTTATAAGGAGAAGACTTAGGAATGGTCTCTAGCCTATGGTACACTTGGACTCTGCATGTGGCCGTGTCGTTGCTCACCAGCCTGCTATGCTCTGCCGACCTTGAGACTTACAGTGGACTTGAGTTACTGACCTGCTGTGTGGTTTGGTAGTATTGGGACTGTGCCATTTTCTTTGTCAACCTTGGGCTTCTGAGCCTCAGCAGCCAGCAGCTGTCAGTGAAGAAATGCCTCTAGCTTCATTGGGCCAGGAGCAGGAGGCAGAGTTGGACTCCAAAGTTGAGGGGCTTTCACCCAACCCCTAGAGCCTGGCACTTTGAACTTGGACTTAAAGCCTCCAAACTGTAAGAGAATAAACTCCTGTTTGTTAAGGCCATCCCATTTGTGGTATATTCTTGTCAGAGCGGCACTAGGTAACCAGAACAACCACTAAAGCCAAAGATGAGAAAACTGAAGATTTTTACTAACTTCTGCAGTCTGAAATTGACTAAACATGCAATCAAGATGTGTTGATTATTACTAGTGATTCAAATGTGAAAGTTGGAAACAATGAAGGATCATCTGTAGATGGAAAATAAGGCCTTGGTCATAGAAATGACATGGGAGATTGCATGATGGGATTTTACAAAACTAATGACTTATTCGTTGCAAATACCTTTTTTCAACAACAGAAATGGTGGTTATACTTTGCCAGATGAGCACATAGGAGTCAGATCGACTACATCTGTGGAAAGAGGCAATGCAGAAGCTCAATATCTTCAGCCAAAACAAGGCCAGGAGCTGACTGTGGAACAGAACATCAACTGCTCATATTCAAGTTCAGGTTGAAGCTTAAGGTTGAAGGAAAATTAAAACAAGTTCACGAGAGCCAAAATATGACCTTGATTATATCCCACCTGAATTTAGAGACCACCTAAGGAATAGATTTGACACACTAAACACCAGTCACCAAAAATTAGAGGAATTATGGAATGACATCAAGAGCATCATCCATGAAGAAAGCAAAAGGTCATTTAAAAGACAGGAAAGGAAGAAAAGACCAAAATGGATGTCAGAGACTCTCTGAAACTTGCTCTTGAATGGAAAGTAGCTAAAGCAAGTAGAAGAAATGAGAAGATAAAAGAGCCAAACAGCAGATTTCAAAGGCACCTTGGGAAGACAGAGTCAATTATTATAATGAAATGTACAAAGACCTGAAGTTAGAAAACCAGAGGGGGAAAACATGCTCAGCATTTCTCAAGCTGAAAACCGAGGAAAAAATTCAAGCCTCAAGTAACAATATTGAAAGATTCTATGGGCAAAATATTGAATGATGCAGGAAGCATTGAAAGAAGATGGAACAAATACAGAGGCTCACTGTACCAAAAAGAATTGGTCAATATTCATGTATCTCAGGAGGTGGTATATGATCAAGAATGCATAGCATTGAAGGAAGACATTGAAGCTGCACTGAAGGAATTGGCCAAAACAAGGCTCCGGGAATTGATGTAATACCCATTGAGATGTTTCAACAAACAAATGCTGTGCTGGAGGCACTGGGAGAAATCCTTATATGTACCAATTCCAAAGAAAGGTGTGGAAATTATTGACAAATATAATTAATATTGTTGTTGTTGTTGTTATGTGCCGTCGAATTACACCCAAGTAAAATTTTGCTGATGATAATTCAAAAATGGTTGCAGTAAGTATATTGACAGGGAGCTTCTAGAAATACAAGCTGGATTCAGAAGAGGACATGGAACGAGGGATATCATTGCTGATGTCAGATGGATCTGGCCTGAAAGCAAAGAATACCAGAAAGATGTTTACTTATGTTTTACTGACTATGCAAAAGCATTTGACTATGTGGGACACAACAAATTATGGATAACATTATGAAGAATGGAATTCCAGAACAACTTATTGTGCTCCTGGGGAACATGTACATAGACCAGGAGGCTGCCATTTGAACTGAACAAGGGGATACTACATGGTTTAAAATCAGGGAGTGTGTCAGCCTCTTACCATGCTTAATCTGTATGCTGAGCAAATAATCTGAGAAGCTGGACTATGTGAGGAAGAATGCAGCATCAGGATTGGAGGAAGACTTATTAACAACCTGCAATATGCAGATGACACAATTTACTTGCTGAAAGTGAAGATGACTTGAAGTGCTTACTGATAAAGATTAAAGACTTCAGTCTCCAGTATGGATTATACTTCAATATGAAGAAAACGAAAATCCTCACAACTGGACCAATAAGCAGCATCACGATAAATGGAGAAAAGATTGAAGTTGTCAAATATTTCGTATTACTTGGTTCCACCATCAACACCAGTGGAAGCAACAGTCAAGAAATCAAATGACGTATGGTGCTGGGCAAATCTGTTGTAAAAGGTCTCTTTAAAGTGCTGAAGAGCAAAGATGTCTCTTTGAGGACTAAGGTGTGCCTAACTCAAGCCATGGTATTTTCAGTCACCTCATATGCTTGTGAGAGTTGGACAGTGAATAAGGAAGATCAAAGAGGAGTTGATGCTTTTGTGTTGTGGTGTTGGTGAAGAATACTGAAAGTATTAAGGACTTCCAGAAGAAGTAACAAATCTTTCCTGGATGAAGTGCAACCAGAATGCTCCTTGGAAGTGAGAATGGCCAGACTTCATCTCACCTACTTTGGTCATGTCATCAGAAAGGACCATTCCCTGGAGAAGGATACCATGCTTGGTAAAGTGGAGGGTCAGTGAAAAAGGGAAGACCCTTGCGAAGATGCCTTGACACAGTGGCTGCAACAGTGGGCTCAGGTGTATCAAGGATTGTCAGGTTGGTACAGGACCTGGTGGTGGTTCATTCTGTTGTGCATAGGGTCACTATGAGTTGGAGCCGACTGGATGGCACCTGACAACAAAACATGTATTGTAAATGAAACTGATTTTTCTGTTTGTTATAATCATATCAAATGTCCTTTAAAAATAAACACGTTGCTTTTAAAAGCCAGTATTTACTTAAAGAAAAATATTAAGTGATGATACAGGTGATGTTTAGAAAATAGAGCATACAGTGTTGGGGAGTGAAGTAGGCAATCACTAATACTTGTCAAGTGTATGTAAATGGAAGATCCCCATTTTGCAGTTGGGAAAGCTGAAGCCTGAGTGATGAAGTCACTTCTTCAGGATCACACAGTTAATTAGTGATGCCCGTGAGGCCAGAGCACACTTATCCCGTCTCCTCCCACCGCACTGTATCTGCTTGCTTTACTGTGCTCCTGGGCTACCCCAGGTGGTCAAGTCCATGTGATCAGAAGATGGCCCAAGCCACTGCCCCATCACTGATGTCTTTTTCTCCACTTTTCTAGCTACTAAAACCTCAGCAGACCATAACAAGAAGGAAGTGAAGCTTTCTTTCAGAGACAAAGAGGAAGCCACCAGGTGAGGTGTCAGTGTGAGAATGCGGGACACTGGGCTACACTGGAAGAAGGTTGTGGTCTCTTGAAAGCTGCCCTCCATCATTCCCAGTACTCTGCTTCCAGGCTTCAGACAGCACTCGGACACCCAATGATTCTTTTCCACTACCCCTTAATCTAAACTTTTGTTTTTAATTCCCTGCCAAAATGTAGGGTGGCATAGTGCCTAAGGCACTCGACTGCTAACCAGAAGGCTGGCAGTTCAAACCCACCAGCCACTCCTCGGAAGGAAGGTTGGGCAATCTACTTCCATAGTGATACTGCCTCGGCAACCCAAGGAGGGGTTGGTGTGAGTCAGGTCCGACTCGACAGCACGTAACAACAACAACATTAAATGACAGGCACTGTCTGAGAGTCAGGACTGTAAAAATAAACCAGACACAAAAAACAGAACAACAGTAAAGATGGGGGCAAACAGAGATATAATGGCTGCCGGTTTTATCTTTGAGTGCCAGTACTGGGCTGTGTGCAGTTACTCAGTTAACGTTTCCACTGTCCTAATGGGATAGAGCAAGATCCCCTTAAACCTATTGCCATCGAGTCGGTTCCAAGTAATAGCAACCTTTTAGAACATAGCTTTCCAAGGCTGTAATCTTTACAGAAGCAGACTCCCTTGTCTTTCTCCCTGGAGAAGCTGGTGGGTTTGAACTCCCACCTTTCGGTTAACAGTGAAGCACTTATCCACCACGCCACCAGGGAGCCTAGTGCAAGAGTACTGGTGCTCATAGTATGCTCCGCTAACAGAATCAACTCGTTAGAAGTGCCGATTCTGGGGCCCTACCCAGGCCTACTGAGCCAGAAGCTCTAGGGGTGGGGCTCAACCATCTGGTTTTTACCAGGCTTCGAGGAGATTTTGCTGCACACTAGAGTTTGAGAACCACTAGTGTTGTGGTTAAGGGCGTGGACTTTAAGTCAATCTGGTGCCAAAGCCCACATCTTGTGCCATGCTGGTAAAAATACGGAAACCCATCTACTTTGTTCTTCATTGTCCCCTACATATATTTATTTCATTTGTGTTTTCTTTTAAAGTTAACAAGCTTTGTGTCCCAGCATAATTCCCAGATCGCCTCGGAGGACAGAATGTCAGAATAGTTTACTCCCCATTGCAGCATCTTCTCTTGGCATAAGTTCTCTACCTCTGCTCTTTATTTCTTCCTTCCTCCTTAGTTCAGCACTCTTTTTCCTAGTTCCCTTCTATTTTTTTATTTAATTTCAGCTGCTACTTTTGTTTTAAGCCAATTTGAATCTTTTTAGACTCTAAAGTTACATAACCACCTAAACAAAACTGGTGCTAGCATAGCCATGAGGTGTTCAGTGTTTAGGGCCATCATTGAAGTGCACCTGTATGGCATTAGATGACACGGAATGATACTCACCAGATTTGAGAAGGCAAGTGTATCACCAGGCACTAAAGGCAGAGCTGTGTCTACATTTCAGCCCCAAGTTGGTCTGCGACACCTCAACCGGCTTACCTATGAAGGAGATGGTGACATCTTCGGACCTCCCAGGAAGCAGACCAATGAGTCCTGAAGAACAAATGAATGTGATGTTACAGCAGGAGATGGAAATAGAAAGTAAAGAGGCCAAACCGTCTGAATCAGATTTGGAGGTATGTTCTTGTTTCCTTTCACTCAGTTTGCTAAGTCTTACTCTTGGCATCTCAGTGGGTCTAAACTGGGGTGTGCAGCAGAATCACCTGGGGAGCAGTGCCCAGACTAGTGAACAAGGATGTGTGTGTGCACGTGTGTGTGTGTATGTGTGTGTGTGTGTGCGCGCGCAGAGTTCTCTGCTCCAGTAAGGCCTGGAAATTGGTACCTTTGGGTCCACTTAGAACACAGGTTATAAAGAGGCAACCCGTAGGTGAGGGTTGCCATATTTAACAAAAATAAATAAAGCACAACAATTTCAAATAAACAATGAATCATTTTTTTTAGTGAAAGTACAAGTGTGCCTCAGTGTACCCTGTGTTTTTTCTGACAATCCTACCATAGGCTGAATTTAAACATTAGTATTTTGAAAATGAGGGAAACCCCTTACAGGTTTTTATTCCTCACTTTATCCTAATCCCCACCCATTCCTTATTACATCCTCATGTCCAGCCACTTTTCATTTGTTAACATTACCTGCCTGGCTCCAGGTAGGCTTTTGAGTTTCCAACTCTGCTATCAAAGAACATCAGAGCTCTGGAAGCAACAGCTTGTGCTTGTAGAACCATTTCCTGCCAAGCTGGCTCTGCCCGTGGCAGCCCCATGTATCAGAACTGTGCTCTCCAGAGTTCTCAGTGGCTGATCGCTCAGAAGTGATTGCCTCAGGGTGGATTCAAACCTCCAGCCTTTCAGTTAGCAGCCGGGTACTTAACTGTTTGCCCCACTCAGGGACTCCTGGGGGTTATAGTATGTGATAAATGGTTAATAATAAAACTGACAGCTATTGACAGAGTTCTGTGGTCAACCCACTGGTTTCTTGACACCCCGACTCCCCCAACTCGCCCATCCTCCCTCACGACCTGAGCATTATGATTATTTCCATTGTGTGTGGAAATTGAAGTGTAGGCTGATTAACAGCTTTCCCAAGGCAAAACTAGGACTTAGACCAGGGCAGGCAAATACCAGCACATCTCTATGCTCAAGAGAGCTATGCATCATTTCTCAAACTTGCCTCAAGGTAATTTCATAAACTTGCTTGGGGTGCTTGCTTAAAGACCCCATAACTGCCTGAGGAGGGCCTGGGAATCTGAACCCCCCAGGCTATTCTAACAGTCACGGATGTTTGACAATTTTGTTTCATACTAAGCAGCTTCCACTACAGATGGAGAAAGGTGAGTGGTGATTACCAGCAGCAGCCTCTGATCATAGGCGGTTGGCACTGAAGCTCATAGCTGGTTTCAAACCTTTTTCCTACACTTTGTACTTCTCATCCATCTGACATGGTTCTTCCCTGGGCCACCCAGCCATCCAGCAGCTTAGAGGCAAGTCATAAGCAATGGGACTTCCTGAAGCCACCAGGTCATATTGGCCATTTTTGTTTAGTCTATCTATGTTGCTTTCTAAGCTCCCAATCCCATGGTTGGCTTAGAAGAACTATCATAAATCTCACTAGGACTTTGGAAATTCTCTTCCCACTGACAGCTACAGGCCATGCAATGAAAGTGCTTTGGAAAGGAGGTGAACTGTTTGAGTCCATTTTAGGAGCTTGTCATACCTCTTAATGCTCACCAGATAAGTGTCTCAGGATTCCTTCCACTGCTCTTAGCCCCATGATATTTGACAGTCCTTTTGTACACCCCACTGAAATCTCTGGCTTATGGTTGGATCCTTCAGAGACGTGGAGGGTACTCACCCATGATCTCACTGCAGTGAGTTAGTGGCAGGTCCAGAAAGCAGGATGGCAGCAAGAGAAGGGTGAGGAGGGGCACTGTTGGAGCAGGGCCCCTTGGCAGCTGGTGGGCATGGGTGGTTGGACACAGTTATCCAACCATGATTGTTTTCTTGCTGGTTGTTTTCTTCATGGAAGAGGTACTGTTACTATTTGAACAATGGCATCCGGAGAGACATGATTGCCCCTGAAGAGGAAAAGGTGATGATTCGAATTTTGAAGCTGATTTCTAACAAGCTGCGAACAAGCACCATGGAACCCCTGCTTGAGGATCTCTTCAATGAGAAGGAAAATGACTACTACAGTAGCCTCATGAAAAGCATTGGTAAGGCTGGGCAAGGATAAATGGGCAGAGGGCTCCCATGGGCACTGTCTTTCCTCTCACTTCAGTCCTCCACCTTGGTTCCTCTGAAAAGAGCAAAAATATTGTTTAACTTTTAATTCCACACTGTAGCCCCCCATCACTTAAGTCCACCAGTGCTTCCCACACTTTAATGTGTATACAAATCATCTGAGGATCTTGTTGAAATGCAGACTTAATTCAGTAGGTCTGGAGAGGGACCCAGGAGATGTAGATGCTGTTGACCCTCTAGGGCCACACTACAGATGTCAGGGGCTTACTCAAACTTCTAGGACTCCTGGTGGCAGAAGGGTTAAGTGCTCAGCTGCTGACCTAATGGTCAGCAGCTCAAACCATGAGTCACTCTGTGGGAGAAAGATTTGGTAGTCTGCTTCCATAAAGATTTACAAACTTGGAAACCCAAAGGGGCATTTCTGCCTGTCCTATAGGCTTGTCAATGGCTACGGTTTCATATTTCAAAATCTAGCTCACGATCTGCCTCTTCTCTCAAGTATTTTTATCCCTCTATACCCCTCAGTAGGGAGCTCTGACGGCATAGTGCCTAAGGCATTTGACTGGCTTAGGTAGTTGGTTGGTGGTTCAAATGCACCAGCCACCCCGTGGAAGGAATGCTGGACAATTTACTTCTGCAGAGATTTACTGCCTCGGAAACCCAAAAGGAGGGTGCTATGAGTCAGAATCAACACAATGGCAGTGAGTTTGGTTATACTCCTCAGTAGGAGCTCTGGTGGTGTTGTGGTTAAAGCATTGGACTGCTAACTAAAAGATCAGTGGTTCGAGCCCACCAGCTGCTCCACTGGATAAAAGATGAGGCAGTCTGCTTCTGTAAAGATATGCTTCTGTAAAGATATGCAGCCTTGGAAACCGTATGGAGCAATTCTGCTCTGCTCTGTAAGGGTGCTCTGCTCTATAAGGGTGCTGTGAGTTGGAACCAACTCAATGACAGTGAATATACCCCTCAGTGAAGGAACCTTGGTGGTGCAGTGGTTAAAGTAGTTATCTGCCAACCAAAAGTTTTGTGGTTTGAATCCACCAGCTACTCCCACAGGAGAAAGATGAGGCAGTCTGCTTCTATAAAGAGATTTACAGCCTTGGAAACACCATGGGGGCACTTCTACTCTGCTCTATAGGGTTACTGTGGTTGGAATCCACTTGATAGCAGGGGTTTGGTTTTGATTTATACACCTCAGTGATCACTCCTTTCTCTGAATTCATAGCATTTCCTGTCTGTTTTCAACTCATCCTGCTTTGGAACTTCTGTGTCATCATTTCTCTGCTGTTAGTTAACACTGGATTTGTCTTTCCACTTCTCATGGGTCTTGGCTCTCCCATTAGACTGTGAAATCTTTGTTGGTGAAGGCCACATTAGTGACCCTAGCTCCCTCTCATCCTTAGTCCAGGGTCTTTTACACACAGTTGGTCATTGGGAAATACTAAATGACTGGCAAACACTACAGATGAGTAAGTAAGCACAAGGAAGCCCATGCTTACCTTGCTTACTGTGCACTCAGGGATTAGAAATTTGAAAAGAGGCTTTGATTCTGTAGGAAAGTGTTGGGATAGAGACAGATGCCAGCCATATGTAGAAGTAGAATCCTTCATGTGAAAGTGAAATGTGAAATTGTTCACTATGGATTAATAAGTAGGCATAAGTAAGTCCTTGCTTATTGAGTAATCTGACACTGTTTCTAAGTTTTGAAGCTATGCCCGTGGAGTGCTAAAAAAAAAAAAAAAAAAAAAAAAAAAAACCTACTGCCATCTAGTTGATTTCAACTCATAGACATGGGGTTTCTGAGGTGGTAAATCTTTATGGAAGTAGTTGCCCCATTTTCCTTCTGCAGAGTAGCTGGTGGGTTTGAAGCGCCAACCTTCTGGTTAGCAGTGAAATGCCTTAGGTACTATCCCACCAGTGCTCAAAGTCCCTGCTTACTAACAGGATGTTTGCTCTCTTGTTTATAGTTGATTACATCCTCATGGACCCAATGGAGAGAAAACGACTCTTCATCGAAAATATCCCCCGCTTGTTTCCTCAAAGAGTGATCCGGGCCCCTGTGCCCTGGCACAGTGTCTATGTGTCTGCCAAGAAGTGGAGCAAGGAACATCTGCACACAGTGAACCCCATGATGCTCAGCCTGAAGGAACTGTGGTTTTCAGAGTAAGAAGTGCCTCCACTCCCTTTTCATTCCCTTTCTTTCTTTCTTGCACACAGGAGAGAACCCCTGAGGCTGGGCCCAGAAGTTCCATTGAACAGAATTTCTGCCCTTGAAGTGAAATAAGATAAACAAAAGTGCACCCGAGACCGCAGGTGATAAATGGCTCCAGCCTTCACAGGTGGCCCTGCTTTGTGCTCACAAAGCACTGGAGCACATAGGCTGAGAGCCCAGACGCAGAGCCAGCCTGCTGACGTTCAGACGCCAGCTCTGCCGCTTCACCCATACTGTGGGATGTTACCTCACCGCTCTGAATTTTTCTCTCCTTATCTCTGAATTTGGCACAGTAAGAGTTCCTACTTCAATACCTGTTGCTATTGAGTCAATTCTGAGTCATAGTGACCATAGAGAACTACTAGAAAGGAGCTCTGGTGGCACAGTGGGTAAGGCATTTGGCTGCTAACCAGAAGGTTAGAGGTGCAAACCCACCATCTGCTCCGCAGGAGGAAGATGAGACAATCTACTTCTGTAAAGATTTACAGCCTTGGAAACCCAATGGGGGTCACTGTGAGTTGGAATTGACTCAATGGCAGTGGGTTTAGGACAGCATAGAGCTTCCCCATAGGATTTTCAAGGCTGTAAATCTTTACAGAAGCAGACCGCCTCATTTTTCTTCTGCAGAGAGCCTGGTGGGTTTAAATCAGTGACATTTTCGTTGGCAGCTGAGTGCTTGACCACTGTGCTACCAGGCCTCCTATTGAATCAATAGGAGGAGTGTAGAGGGTGCAGATTCTCCTCATTCCACTTAATACCTGCCAAGTCCTTAGAACAGTGCCTGACATAAGATGAGCTCCCAGTGAGTGATGATTAGCCATGACCTCCATTATGACACTCCTCACACTGAGTTACAGTTGCATATGCTTGCTTGTCTTTCCCTGTAGCCTATGAGCTGCATAGGGGATTGAGTGTGATTCCTTTATATAAAAAAGGGATTGCAAGCAGTGGTCTTTGTTATATTTACCAATCACTAAATGGGCCACTCCTTGGAAGGAAGATGGGGCAATCTACTTCCATAGTGATACTGCCTCAGAAACCCAAGGAGGGGTCGCTATGAGTCGGGTCCGACTTAGGGGCACATAACAACAACAACAACAACAAATTGGCCACAGGAAGTGTGGGAGTCCAGAAGAGGTAAGAGTTACTTTTTTTCTTTTCTTTTTCATTTTTCATTGAGATACAATTCACATACCAGAAAAGTCACCCTTTAAAAGTTACAGTCACAAAGTTGTGAAACCATCCCCATCATCTATTTCCAGAACATTATTTTCCTACAAAGAAACTCGGCACCTGTTAGCAATCACTCCCTGTCCTCTCCCATCCCCCAGCCTGTCCCCAGTTGCGGGCAACCACTAACCTGCTTTCCGTCTCTCTGGATTTACCTATTATGGATGTTTCCTATAAATGGAATCATGCAGTATGTGGTCTTTTGTGACTGGCTTCTCTTAGCATAAATAAACACTTGAATTGACTTACTTATCTGCTCTCTGAGCAAGTTCTTTTGGGCTATCCACTTCTTCCTTAGTTACCCCTGTATTGCAGATATAATTCTAATCTACTTGAGTTTCCTCTCATTGAAAAATACCTTAGGAAGTTTCTCCATCTCTGTTGACAGATTCGCTGACATCAGGTTTGTTCGAACAGCAGAATTACTGGCAGGACAATTACCTCTGCAGCCTCACCAGTATGAGACTGTGATCCAGACACACTGCGCGGACGCCCACGACATTCTTCTCAACAAGTTAGTATCTGGCCTCAGAGTGGAACTGCACCACGGTATCATGAAGACTGAAAACTAGATGAAAGGGAAATGGTCCCTCCCCAGCCCAGCAGAGAGCCCGCTCCTACTTCTGTTTACGTCCTGCCTTCATCTTCCCCTGCTCCCTTTCTGTGCTGTGACAGCCGAGTGTCTCTTTTCCAACTGCTCCTCACCCTCACTTCTAGTTTCTCTCTGCCTTTTTGAAACTCTCATTTCGCCTTCCTCTCGGGGTTACCACTTCCATTCCCTCATTCTGAAATCCCTTAGGTTTCTCTAGGTAATAGGATAATACATTTGAGTGACTGTGTTCAAATGGCCCAAACAGCCTCAGGGTTCCAAGGTTGGGGTTTTCAGTCACTTTATCCCTTTGACCTTTGCAAATGCTTGCAGAACTGTGTCCAAAGCCAGGGAAATGCCCTTGTATGAATGGTGATAAGAATACCTACTGTGTAGGGTTTTTTATGGGTTAGAGAAAATAGACAATGGCTGCCGCATAACAAACCAAAACCAAACTCACTACCATAGAGTTTATTCTAACTCATCGAGGCCCCCATTAGTTTCCCAAGGCTGTAAATCTTAACAGAAGTAGATTGCCTCATGTTCCTCCCACAGGACAGTTGGTGGGCTTGAACTACCAACCTTCTGGTTCTTAGCCAAATTCCTTACCCATTATTCCACCAGAGCTCCCTTGCCGCATAATAACCACTCCAAAAATATCGTAATTATGACCTCTATTGTGATGCCTGTTACTAGTACATTGACTGTTAGAGTATACTTTTCGAGAACTTTGAGAAGAGACAAGACATGGTGGGAAGAGAAGGCCATAGGCAGTGGTTCCCACTGGGAATTAGAAATTGAGAGATGTGGGAAGACAAGAACAATGAGGTGTCCATTCCTTCTTTTGATTGTTGAATTCCTGCTCTCCACTTCTCAATAGCCTCCCCCACACTAGAGTTCTCCTCTCACGTTTCCTTCCTTTTCTCTTCTTTTTTCTCCCTACAAAGTCTAAATCAGAGATGAGGCACCTGTCAGACAGAGAAGTTAGAGAGAATCATTCCATTTCTTGCCCTCTTTTACTCCAATCTCTGATTATAATGAAGAAAAATGTAGACTCAGCAGGAAGTGCCACCTGTCAATTTGATTGTTGTTAACAGAAGCATGATCATCTCTCGATTCAGATCTCTTACTTTCTTGTCAGGAAAGGAGTGTTTACAAGTGAGGTGGCCAGAGATACAAAGGTACAATTTGCAAGGCTGTTTAAGGGTAGATGAGGCCATGGTTCTGTCAGAGAGAGAGGGGCTGGTGGAAGGGCTTCTCCCAGCTCTGAAGAGTTTCCCACTTGGATGCTTTCTTATCTTTATAGGTGGGTCCCCAGCTGTGCTAAGCTTTTCATCTCACGGAAGGAACAGTGGATCCATTTTGCCCCCAAGAATGAATACGAGTCCTCTCATATCATTGAGGAATATTTTGCTTCTGTTGCATCCTTCATGTCACTCCAGCTCCGGGAGTTGGTCATCAAGTCTCTCCAGGATCTTGTTTCCTTTTTTATGATACACAAGGTAGGTAGGGGATCGGACATGGGCCTTTTGAGAGGAATCAACCTCTTTAGAATCAGGCATTCCGTCTCATCTGTTTTAGTTATTTAGTGCTGCTATAACTGAAATAGGAGCTCTGGTAGCATAGTGGCTAAAGCACTTGACTGCTAACCAGAAGGCTGG